TTAGGTCGGAGGCCATGGCTCTTGGGCCTTTGCTAGTAGGTTGGAGGTGTCCGGAGATCCACCAAGATGTCGTTGAAGTTCAAGCCGAATCGAGGTGGTCCTGTTGATTATTTTGCTCTTCTACGAAGTGGACCTGGACGTGCAGAAATGGGCTTTTTGTGCTGCTTGGGGCTTGGGTCCACCGGAATCATCAGCAACACTTACCTTCATTTCCTCCAAACATAGGCCTCTTCAAGGAGGAAAAAGTTTGTCTTTTACATCCCTACATTTGTTTTAGCATTTTACCAGGTTCCACAACCAAGAAGAATGATAGAAAGGAAATGGGTCAACACCATGAGAGTCTTTTGCCACAAACTCTCCTGATCGCAGGTAATGGCCCGCTGCTTTGTGCAATAGCTGTGCTGGGGAATAGCCTCTTGTTTCATGACTTTGACAATGCTTCCTCTGTGCTCATTCATTTGCGACTCGGCATGGAGAGGTCTCATGCAATACATATGAGTTCACCATAGTTCACCATTCACATTTCGTGCTAGACCCACCATGAATGGCGTGGTGACCTAGTAGTTGGCCCACACACGGGGATATAGGGTTGTACATTTGCAAAGTCCAAGACCAAGGTTTCCGTCCTTGGTGATGTATGAGATGGGCTGGAACCGTGAGGCCGTACAGGAGGCCTTCCCAAGTATCTTTACGCGTCTTGGCTTTGTTTGCTCTTGGAACTTTCAACTTTAACTTTACGGTCTGGCAACAAGATAGTAGGTACGCTAGTAGGTTGGAGGCCATAGCTAGTAGGTTGGAGGCTATCTATCGCTAGCAGGTTGGAGGCTATCGCTGGTATGTTGGAGCCATTGCTCTTAGGTTGGAGGCCATTGCTCTTAGGTTGGAGGCCTTGGCTAGTATACTGTGTACAAGTCTGGCAAGAGCCGTGTTCTGTTTTTTTTGCTACACGTGCCGTGGCTGTGCTGTTTTGACAGCTGGCAAGGTACCACTTTTTCAATGACATCCACTTGTGGCGCCTTGCTGGATTACTGACAGACTTGCTGTGGTGGGTGGGAGATGGCTCCAAGGACAAGATACGTTGAATCTTGGATCTCCTGCAAAGAAATTGAGATCAAGCACCTCATTCACATACACTTGGTTCATATAGAGGTGGCAGTTTCATGGTGTTTCACCCCTGTGCAGGATTGTTAGGGGCGTGTATGCTGCATGCTCAAGGTGTATAGCCTTTGTCCACAGGATGCATAGACTAGATTCAATGTATATATTGTATAGTTAAATGATGTGTGTATATATATATATGTAATGCTTATATTGGTCATGAGTCACCAGTTCAAACCCTCCTGCAACCAGGAAAGTCGCTTGGGCTTCGGCCTACTCCGCTCCAGGCACGACATTTACAACAATGCAGCGATGAGCTACTTTGCCTGGCTGTTGCCATATGCTGGTTGGCTTTTGACCTGTGGGATGAGTGCTCCTTCATGTGGCTATGCAACTTGTTCCATGTGGAGTGAGGGTTAGTTTCGCCTTTGACATACCAAGCTGATTGACACATCTTTGCAATTGCCTGATATTTGTGGGAGTCTTCCCGAACAAGCCATTTGGATCTGCTGGTTTCTCTTGGTGGCACAGGGCACACTTTGCTTTCATAACTCCTGGGCAGTTTGGAACATTGTGGGGACCCCCCAAGGGCAACCTGTTCATCTGACGGCCAAGGACACAATCTTCCACTTCACCATGCGCGGCGCCGGGGGTCATGTGACATCCAAGATCTTGAGGGTTCCACCAGAGGCGATTTTGGTATCGATTTGGTGTCGTTTTGTATGTCGAAGTTTGTCGTTTCATGTTCTTGCGGCGCCTCCATTCCAGCCCTGGAATCGAGGCATGCTTTAAATATGAGCGTGTGGGGTTTGGTCTACTAGTCATTCTGGGGATGCCGGAAAATGCGGAGAAGGGACCTCTGAACAAGCCTTTCATGCCTTCTCCAAAGACACATCTGGGTTTCTGGCGTTCTTTTCCTTTCCAGACCGAGAGCAATGACCTCATGACCTTTGTGCAGGAACACAAAGAGCTGGTGAGAGCAAATTCCTTCCCTCGATCCTATGCTCTTGTCTACCTCACGATCCATGCTATTTTGGCGGCTCAGCTGAGGGATGCCCCAAGATCTGTAGAAAAGGCTACAAGAAAGAAACAATTGAATCCTCAAACTGGAGAGAACACAAATGCTACTAAGATGTTTGTTAAATTGCCTATGCACCATGCTCGCACACATGCTCGTCCTGTGAGGTCTTGCTCTCCATTCCAGTGGCATTGCTTTGCTGCTTGTTAGTCGGTCAGAGCTATATACTGTATCCCTAAGTAGATGGAGCAGGGGATGCTTCGAGACACAGGAATGCAATGAAACATTCCATGCTTCTGAGCTTCTTCTTCCATTTAATGATATCGTTGGTTCTAGATGCTCCAATCTTGCTCCTATGTGTTTATTCTAGATGCTCCAATATTTTTCTGTCAATTTGTTTAGAAAGACGCTGCGCACAAACATACTCATGTACAGATGTGGGGAGACTCTATTTGACCCAGTGCTCGTGCTTGTGTTTGAGGTTATGCAGACAAGAAGATTCACATTTGTCTTTGTGGCTCCATGGTGCTATTGACCATTTACAATGCGTCTTCTCGATACACGATTCTTAATTGCATTTAAGGTGAGTAAGTTCAGGATGAGTGCAATTTGCCATGCTAAATCTCGAAGTCCTACTAGATGCAACGTCTCAAACTACAAAGATGCAAAGGTGTATCGATGATGAAAACATGTAGCTCAAAACATGCAGGTTCTACATGGTCTCAAGCTATGGCCAAGCTCTTCGAAGAGAACTTGGAATTCCTTTGACCCGGGGGGCCTCTGCTATTTTGGAAAGCTGAGAGTCGCCGCACCAAGCCAGGAAGTCGAGAAATTCCTTTAGAGTCGGAGCTTTTCCGGTTCGTCTGAAAGTTTGCAACTGGAACTCAACCTACCAAGTTGTACAGAAACCATTGCCATTGCTTGTCTTCGCATGGCTTTGCGCATTGGCGCATGAGGGCCTTGTGGATCGTTGATTCAAACATCCGGATTGAGTTCCAGGTGTGATTTTGCGGGGAACCTGCTCCAACTCAACATCGATCGGAGGTACTAGACGTTTACCGAGTCCCTTCTGTGCTCGACCGATGCTACAACCTGAATTTTTTTTGACTACTCAGTGACCATAGCAACCGCTTGTCTAATTTCAATATTAAAGTCAGCTTTCAGCCTTTGTATTCTGGTTGACTGGAGCCATGACAGTACAAAGCACACAGGCATAGGCAGCATAGGCACATGTTTCCTGACTTAAGATCCAGAGTTGCTTCGATGCTTTGATTGCCAATTTGTTGATAAATTTATGTTGGGGAACAAAGCCAGCTTGAGTAGTTTCTACACTAAACCTGGGAACAGGACCACCCAAAAATAGATATAGTAGAGGACGGCCTCAAGTTCAGACTCTGATACCTCCAGCACTCAAATCCTTCGGTGTCCATCGTTTTGGAGCGCAAAAGCAGTGCGGCAGTAGTCTGGTTGTCACTGCAGTTGCTCTATTGGGCCCTAGACAGCAAGGGTGTCGGCTCCACGACCGCCGTGAAACCTCTTTTTGGGGAGGGGGATATCTTGTTGGAAACAGCTGTAGTTGCTAGTACTGTAATTGGTTATCTTGTTGAACAAAGGAGTGTGTTTGTTTCTTTTTGTGTTTTCAAAACAATTGAAATCATATGATGAGACAGGTGTGCATCGCGCTTTTTTACTCCCAGCGCCCACGTGCAAGCTCCGCTTGTTTCATGGCTTTGCTTGAACTGTCTAAAGCTTGGGTCCCAGCACGTTGCAACGCTTGTTCTTTTCTCCGCAACACCCTACATCTCGTAGCACTCGATGCTGAAAGCATTGTGCTTTGGTGTAGCACAACCCATTGATAGTCTCGCGGCTGTGGTGGAGCTAAACAAGCTAGTAGACATAGTGATTTAGACTATGTCCTCCACCGATTGATGTTAAATGCCTCGAGGAAGCACAGCCCAGGATGTCATTATATAATACTGTACATTTGCAGTATATATATATTTATGGTTGCTTTCTGCTTGGAGTGCTTGTAGAAATGGGTCTAGCCGTGTATGACTGGTAGGGCCTAAAAAGATTGCTAGAAAAATAATGACACTTGTGCATTGAACCCGAGTGACAGATGATTTGTTCAGTGTAGGTGGAGAGGACATCCTTGTACATGCTGGAAGGCCACTACGACCTGAAGGCAGGCCCAGTTGCAATCTTAACCATGATCTCATGCAAAGTACCCTGATGCAGCTTTCTCACACGCGCTTTCTATTTTCTTCAAAAATGACTTTGCACCGATATAGTGTTGACAGGTAGAAAAAGAAAAAGGAGTCTTCCAATTCCTGTGTTGGTCCGCCTACGAATCTTTATTCCATCCAGCTCAATGTTGGGGCTTCTGGCTTTTGAATGTTCTTCATTGGCCAAGTCCAAGTTGCTTTCCAAAGGTTTTCCTGTGAGATCTTCAGTATTCACAGTATTCACAAGTATCTTTGGTAGTGCAACTGCCGGGTATTGAGATTTTAGATGCAGAGGAGGGAAGGCCCAAGTTATAAAATCCAGCTATGTCAAACAATGAAAAGGTTTATAGAGCACTAGTGCTTAGTTCAGAACTGGGTGAACCAGCTAGTTGAAACAACCATCAATGAAGATCCACAATTGTGTTAGGACTATTTTGCTTGTTGAGAGCTTAATGCATGATTCAAGACCTCCGAACAAGGCAGCTTGAGTTCTTCTGCGTTGGAAGACCTCCTTGACGAGGCGTGTAGACTCATCGGACACAAACTTTTGACGGAGCTCCAAACCCATCTATTGGGTCAAGCACTCCGATGACAAACTTATTGAAGCCAACTTGCTCAAAAAAGCATGTGAACAAACAATATTGAAGCAGTCAAATTGCATGGAAGGCGCTTTGTCGAACTCTGCAACAGAATCTTGAGAGGGGTTGAGGAGGATTTAACACTTTAAACAGAGTGTTTTCGCTTTTTGCCTTTTTTGCTTTTTGCTACGATGTTCACCGCTTGCTGCCTTTGATTGCAAAAGTCGTTAGGAGACTTCCGGGCGACCTACGGTAGAGCACAAAAAGTCAGACAATCTTCTAGCTACTAGTAGTAATGCCCTTGTTACTAGTAGCTTCTTGCTACTACTAGCGATGCCCTTGTTACTAGTCGCGATGCCCTTGTCTTGCCGACCCAGGATGCCCGCTTGCGGGATACTCGGTCGTGACACTTTTTGAAAGCGAAGTCATTGTGCCTTGGTCGGTCTTGTCGTAAGGTCATGTGTAAAGCTTACAAGTGGTGACAATGCATTATACCAAGTTGGACACGTCATTAATAGGTCAGGGAGCAGTTTGTTCGTCATCAAAGGGCGAGAATGCTTGCTTGGCTCCATATCCTAGCTTGGCTTTCAAGTCGCCTTATCCGGTCCTATTTTGTGATTGGCCAAGGCCCTATGTGAAGTGTCTACCTGTGTCACACTGTGTCCGGCACGGACGTGAAGGCAATGATCACTGGGTTGGACATTGCATGGACACTCGCGCTTGAATGAAGCTATGAAGCTGGCTCAAGAAGCTTCTTTAGATGTGTGTAGCTAAATTTGACTCCTCTGAACTTGAACCCGTAAGCTATTCAATTATGCTCTCAAAGGCCTCACGACTGGAGCACACGTGTCAGAGGCGTCCGCAGCATGAGTACGTTTGGCATCTCAGCAAGAAGCCGAGAGAGACCAACAGAAACTCCCCAAATCCCATCACCTTTTCGAGGAACCGTTTGTTTTGGCAAACCAGACCTTAAGGTGTGAATGTGCTGCCTGACTTCTCATTATCTCGAATGTATTTTCTCCTTTTTGCCGAGGTCTTGGCGCAGCTTCGCGGGTGCTTTGTGGCACCACATGGGCTCCATCTCCAGGCACCCGCGAAGCAATTGCTCACCATATTTCATTCTTGAGTATATATATATATATATATACTGTATATATATATATATTGATGATATTCCAACCTAATAGCGATGGCCTCCATCTGAATAGCGATGGCCTCCGACCTAATTGATGGATGTCCGAAGACATAGACTTGACCATGATCCTCCCTCTGCAGACCTGGGTGGCGGCGCTTCTTGGGCCAAGCACTTGCTCACCATCTCTGCCGTGCCGAGAGAGTTGAGGCCCATATTTTTATATTTAGCCCGCTCCTACTTAATTGAGTAGGCACCTACTTGATCAAGGAGTGAGCTACTAGCCACTTAAGCTCTATATATATATAATACACACATAGGCATAGATACACACGTAAATGTCTCCGCTGCTGTCTGGGCTGTTTTGACGACTGGTATTGAAGGGAGATTCCCAAGCAACCAATAGCACCTCTTGAATGAATCATTGAGAGAACAATGCCAGGTCACCTCTTGGTTTGTCCAAACTTTGTGGCCAGGTCTGTGCCGAGAACGCTGGCTTATGCCCATTGGGATGTCTGTTTGGGCCTCAGCTGTGAAGCTGAACCCGCTTTTCGGGTTCACTTGAATCCTAGGACGGCCCATTTGACTCTGCTCCTTAGCGCGTGGGAGCCTGACACCAACGACTCGATGTGGCAAACTACTTTGAGACCGTGCTTGGCGCAGTGGTAAGGCCCAGATCTTATCGACTTGATGGCCTTTTCACTCCAAACAAAGTGGGATCCTTAGGTAGGATATCCAGCAAGGTCTTTATCCAGCAAGGTCTTTTGACAGCTGTGGTGTCAGCCTGTTGCTGCGTAGTTTCGACGTCCTCTAGCCTCCTCGACTTCGTCAATCCTCACAATGATGCAGAAGGAATGATGGCACTCCATTGCGCGTTTGCTTGTATCGGAGGAACCTGTTATGACATCAACCACTTGTCAAGAATTGTGGGAATTGCACAGGTAGTGGAAACATGTGGAGAAGCTGAACTACCATATACATATATATATATATACATACACACATACAAAACACACACACACACACACTGAAACTTTCTTCAAGCCAAGCAAGTGTGGGGAAACAGCAATGACATGCCATAACACAAGCAGCATGAAACTCCAAGAGAGTTACAGTGAACACCGACAGACACCGTCCGTGTCGACAGGCGGACGTGCGAAGTGTCACCGCTGTCGCGGCCGTCGTGAGGTGCCGATGATCTGGGAGCAGCTGGGTGAAAGCCTGAGATAGAGCTCCCTGCTTCGGCCGATAAACACTTTGAATGATAAACACTTCAGCTTGTTACTAGTAAGGCCAGGAGCGACTAGTAGCGTCCTTGCTCCTAGTAGCGATGCTCTTTGTTCCTAGCTTCGTGCTCCTGGAAGTCTGAAAAAGTCTTCTCAAATGGTGACGGTTGAAATCCCGAGGAGTTGGCTTGGGCTACATACTATGGAACCCCACGGGTTTCAAGCCGCTGGACTGCACCACCGGACGATGCAATGGGACAGCGAAGAGGATGCCTTTTTTTGGCACACAGTGCAAGGTCTGACGTGTGTTCCTTTCAGTGTTTTCAGTTAAGGCACAGACATGCATAGACAGCATAGACATATAGCCTTGCATTGCGGTCATGAGGCTTTTGGATGTGCTTTACAGTGGCTGGCCAATCTTTGCGCTCTTACGAGAGCTACGTTGGAAATTGATTAGGCCGAGATGGGAAGCCAATGGGAACGGTCAATACAATTGCAAATGGGAACACTCAAGAGTTGATGCAATTCTGCATGTCAATAAACAGTGAAACGTGCCTCCTTGGGACTTGAAGCATTGTTGTTGTTGTTGTTGTTGGAGGTAAAACGACAGGCGAATGTCAGTCTCAAACAGTTGCTTCGATCATGGTCTTTCACGTGTGAGGCTCAAAGGCAGTGAGGCCTGTGTGGGCTTGGAAGCAAACGAGCTTTTAAAGCAAATCAGAGCTGTTTATGTGTTCTTTTTGGCACAAGAACGCCTTGCTTGGGCACCATCCCTGCACAGTTGGTGATGAGGCTTTGTTTTTACGCGTTTATGTGCTCAAGAGGCCGACGAATATCGAGATCTTCATCGCCTTCGAAGGCATCTGCATAGGGGTAGAGAGGTCGGTAATCGTTTAGAGCATGTTTGGAGCTGTTCCGAATCGACAGTGCAAATTCTTTATATGGCACTTGTCCTATTCTCAAGCAAGCGATACTTGCATTAGTTTCTGTCTGCTTACTGTAAAACGCCCTGTCATGTAGCGATGGTGGTTCTTAGCAATGGCCTTCGCTGCTTGTCCATTTGTGCATTGGTCCTAGCATGCCAAAGGGGCTCGTTGTTTGCTGCTGTCAGAATAAAGGACAGGGATAGGCAGCAAATCTTAATCCATATTACAGATCCGCAGCTTGGGATGCTGAACATGTACAAAAAGCCAGAGGATTGGAAAGCAGAAGAGACAATGCTGAGCAAACTGGCTGCCAAGGCAGCGAGTTTCAAGCCGAACCTCGTTTTTGTCGGAGGGGACATGCAAAACTGGTGGCCGAATGAAGAAGCCCGCCAGGCGAAAGGTCTTTCAGACAGGAACAGACTCAAAGGAATGGGAGACAAAGAGTTTCAGCAGCTCAAAGACAAGGGATTAGGGCGGATGCAGAGAGATTCTGTCCAGAAGTCCCTTGAAGTCTTGGTCAATGCTAAGATTCCAGTGTACTACACAGCAGGAAATCACGACGTTGGTGATTACCCCGATGCAAGAACGCTTGAGCAGTACTCTTCTTCAGACAGCAAGAACCCCGGGTGGGGGCCTTTGTTTCAGAAGGTGGAGGAGGATGGCATCTTATATCTGCAGTTCAACTCTCAGATCTACTGGAGTAATGAGGCCTCCTTGGATGAGTACCGCTCGAAGCAACTTGACTTCCTCGAAGGTGAGATGAGTAGAATCCAAGCGCTTCAAAGCATCAAGCGCTTGGTTCTCTTGACCCACATCCCTCCATTCATGGATTCAGTGGACGAGCAGGAAGGTTGGGCCAACTGGAAGGAAGCCTACCGGAAGCAAATCTTGGATGTGTTGGCAGGGCCCAACATACCCATGTTGTGGGTTTGCGGTCACTTTCACGCCAATGTGGAGAAAGATTCCGACTACCAGGGGGTTCCACTGAGCATTCGTGTGTCCAGTGCGGCTGGAACCACCATGCAGTGGGACGGGAAGGATGAGCTTTCACCGAAGGAAGCTCAAGAAGTCGCCTCCAAGGAGATCCTCAAAGCGTTTGCCGAGGACATTGGCTTCACGCGGATTGGCGAACGCTTGAAGGCGGAAAGTGACCGCTCCGGCCTGCGAATCTTTAAGATGCTTGGTGACAGTGGCAGTTTCGAAGACCAATGGTTCACCCTTGATCAACTTCAGGAAGAGGCCTCCTCATGGCTGGCAAGCTGACAGCTAGCACAGCTGGTAGATCTAGTAGCACAGGTAGCAGTCACAGGAAGACTTGTACTGGCTGCATACAGTAAAAGGAATCTTTCACTGGTCGAATCAATCAAATTATAGATGTTGCAAGCAGGCACTCTGCTTTTCATAAGTTGTAAACTGGTGAACTTGCACACGCTTCAACAGAGACATGCTTTTGATTGATCAGGTCCATGATGTTTGACGGTCCACTGGATGCAGCCGGCCAAAGGATTGCTTTTCAACTGTTTGCTGGCACGTGAAGTTTCTGGTCGTTTGACTCTAAAACTGCGTTGGTTGTTCAGGGCTTTTGTGTGTTGAAAGGTGAGCTTCGGTGCATCCGGCGTACGCACTGAGGCAGCAATGGCGCGCATCATTTGCATCTACCAGCCGAAGAGGATTGAGGCGAAGAGGGGGTGGTGACTGCAGTGTCTCTTGGTCGGTGGCTTGTTCGGGCGAATCAGCGAACACCATTATGCCTGGAATATGTTTAATGCGCATTGTGGACCTTGAAGGTGCATGCACACCTGCACACCACACTGAATACTTCAACACAGTTGAATGGGTCACCCGCGGTCACGCCTGTAGTGACTGCAGTGCTTCTCGCCGCAGGAAACTAGCTGCCCAGTGCTTGAGGCGACGGGGCCTCTCCCGCGAAGTCTATATAGCTTTTCCAGAACACGTGAGGTTCCTCGCGTTGTGGACGGGCACAAAGCCCGCCTAACCTTTGGAGAGTCATATCACCAAAGTTCGAAGAAAGCAAATGCGAGTCATTCACAACGAGCTTCTACTTCAGCTGAAGCTATGGACCACTCCATTCAGGCAGAGAATGCCTTGGAGAAGGCGGAGGAGCTGGACTGGACAGGTGGATCCACAATGTACACTGCGAAGCACTGCGAAGCACTGCGAAGCACTGCGAAGCACTGCGAAGCA